AAAGAGAGAAAAAACGAACTTGGTATTATTATTTCTTCTCTGTTTCGTCGTGAGAGAAAGATAGCACCACCAAATCCAATTTCCTTTCTCTTTTTATTCACCGGACGCCTACCTACCGGGCTTGCCTACTCTATCTATACTAACTCTATGATTTAATCGATAGTCAAATAAAACAAATTCTAGAAACTGATATAAACTTATTACTTCACGTTATTAAGTTGATCGATTAGTGCATTGAGCTATATAAAATATCTGGAGTGTGCGCGGCTGTCAAAAGTCGTAAGATAAAAGAGTAGCGACGATGCTCCAAGGAGCGAGAAGCTATAGGGGATCTCTATCCTTCTTTTTATATTCTCTCTCTCTATTTGTATTATCTTGTAGTAAATTTAACTATCGTGGGGATAGAAGTTCAGTATTCTATCGAATCACTTGAATTTATAACACTGTCAATCACTCGACATATACGCGTCCGAGTTCAGGTTCAGAAAACATGCATTATACACCTAGAAAGAGAAAGAGATTCCTTTACGGTTCCTCTTTGTCGACGAACGTACCCCCCCATTCGTTCACACTCCAGATGTTTTATATAGCTCAATGGTTCTCTGATTAGAAATTAGAACCGAGAGAAAATAAATGATTCAATATCGACAAAGTTGGATAATTTCAGACCTGATAATCTGAAATTCACGGGCAGAGCTTGAATGTTGCAGTTCCGATTCCATTTTCAGCGACAATATCGTACTTGCACTCGTCGCGCTTTAACGAAGCATTAAATCAGTAACACGACTTCGAACTCACCGATAATAATCCTAATACGTAACTGCGAGCGAGTTCCCGGTGAAATAAAACCGTGAGTCGCGCGCGTAGTTTCGCGTTTTATGGTTCCAGTCGCGTCACTCGCGCGAGAATTTACAAGCAACCTGTCGATGACCGAACAAATTATCTCGCGTTACCGTTAACGACGATAGTTACTACCGACGGACTCGTGGATCGAGAGGACGTTCTCGATAACGGGTCACTCTAATTCGGCTTTCACCTCGACGCGTAACGGGCATACCGATTGCGTCCGTTCGTTTCTCGTAGCCGACGGCAGATTCCTACGATCGGAATCTAGATCGGCGATGACTGTGCCGATGTCTATATATAAAATTGAAAAGTGAAATCATAGAGAAAGGAACGATCTCTAATTCGAGATAGGTTCTTGTACGTTCCTCCGACGCAAACGTACATTCTTTTCTCTGCTTAATTATGCGACCTCGTTTCCAATTCAAAGGAAAACAACTGATGAAAAATTCTAGGATACGTAAATACACATAATGAAACGGTGTTAAAAACTTGCTTGTCATAGACGTCGAACCAACTTTCTTGAATTAGCATAATTTCTGTTCACGTGAAATAATCGAGGAGACAATTTCCTGTCGCATTGATCTGATCATGCAAATTATCAATGTCATGTTACTGAAATACATTCTATATGTATCTCTTATGTCATAAATCGCTCTCTGATAAAATCAACGAATGTCACGTAACATTTGATGAAATTTCTTAACTCTATATAATTCACGCTATATAATTTCATAAACTGTGAGTAAAACGAATAAAAAAACAGTCTAGCCAATTCGAGTTTATATATCGGTGTAATAACGGGGTGGCATTTTGTCGGGGGAGGGACGTTGAAATATCCGCGGCACGGCGCGACCACGACACGGAATCAGAAAATTGCGAGACGATAAATCAGAGAAAAAAGTTGCGGTGTATGAAACGCCGATCGTCGATACGTAAAAGCGGTTTTAATATTGCGGTCGAAATACGGCTAATAACTAAAATCGACTTTCTTGCTCGTTTTTTTTTTTTTCCCACCAAAAACGTTCAAACAAAATGCACGAAAAACGAACGAACACTCGCGCCGGTTAATTAACGATCTCCATGGAGCTCTTCACTTATTCATGAAATATTCGTGTAACTCGTTAAATATGGTAGCGCAAGAAACGTGTACGTATTTACAGTGAACGAGGGACTTAATCAAGCTATGCGAGCTTTTAATTACGCCAGCTCAATTTTTGTCCTAATCCGCGTTGTTAGCTTCATAAGTACAGAGCAGATACATTTTCACTTGTTCGCGTTTCTACGTCAATTTATCAAATATTATCAGTAAACTTTTGTAAATCGACTCCACGTTTCAATCTCCTAGAAACAAAATTGTGCTGGACAAATATAACAGTTGTTTTACACTATTTTCGTCAAAAGACACCTTTTGAAATGTTCGCTTAAAATTGTTATCATTAGTTTAATCATTTTTCCTCGATTTAATTAATTAATTTAACAGCCAGTATAGGGAAAGTCAAAAATTTAATTGAGGAAGAAGTAATTAACTAATGATACTAATTTTAAATAAAAATTTCAAGAAGTGTATTTTGACACCGATAGAAATAGTGTCAACAGTTAAATCGCGTCTGCACTTTTAAATTTGATCACTGCTTGTTGCAATCAGAATGAAGAGAGGGCATAAAATATTCTGCAGCTATACGCGAAATCGCGAGACCCCACGTGGCGTCCATCGGGTCAAAAATAATCCCGACTGAGATTTCCATGCTTTATTCACCAGTTGCTTGGAAATTGCGCGCAGATCTACGTGCACGTGCCACGCTCGCCCATTCACGAGACCGTAAACACGTCCGTCAATCTTTGGAGCCCCCGTGCCACATTAATCAATGCACACGGCGTAAACGGTGTTTCCAGTACTGATGCGAGTGACGCCTCGTTCTATACTTCAGAAACCCGGCGCCAATAGCAAATTTCAGTACAGGAGAAACAGGATAAAAATATGGTTCTTCAAATGCAGGAATAAAATAGAAGATATAAATGGAGTATATATACACACTTTCTCTGAAGAGATTCGAGCACTAATGCAAGAGGCACCTCATTCTATATACCAGAAAACCTGGCGCCAGTAGGAAATCTCAGTAAAGGAGGAACAGGGTGAAAATATGTTTCTTCTACTGGAGAAATAAAATACATGAAATAATTGCGGAGTGTGTACAGATTCTTTCAAGAGATTCGAAAGCTCTTCAAGTAACAATCTGTTAAGCAGCTTAACGTATTTCCATGTCAACGATAATTCCCGCCGCCAAGCCAAGCGTTTAATGACTTCCGAAGCACGGCTTCGCCATTTAACCGTGGCGCAAGACAAATATCTGTTAGCAGAGCAACTCGGTGGAAGGATCACTTTCCCTTTTTTTTGCAGCTCACGCAAGCTTAGTTGCTGTATTTACCGGGAGAAGGAGAAAAGAAGCGAACTGAATAAGATCGAAAGAAGACTAGGCATTACGAAACAAAAGTAATTCCGTCGTATCGTCACAAGAAAACGACCTTTATTATATCATAACGAATAACAAAAGTGTCGCGCGGGGATCGATTTATTTTATGTGTACACGATAAATACGCGAATAAATAAACGTAGTCCTGTTGATAATAAATATTGGAAATTGAGAACGGTGATAATACAAAAAGTTATTGACACGCAGATTCATGGTCAAATAAAATAATTATGATATCGTTTATTCTTTTATTCCCAGTAAAAAAGAGACAATGGTCGGTATTCAGAGTCGTTGCTTATTCTTAAGATCGTCTTAAGCATTTGCTTAAATCCCTGTTCCCTATACAAGATAAGGACTGGAAATATGGGATAGAAAATTCTTAAGACGATCTTAAGAACAAACAATGACTCTGAATACTGGCCAATATGCTGCCTATTATGAACAGCAGAGAATTCGATCTGACTACATTCGACTAAAGTGATAATACAAAAAATTTCGAGATCGAAGTTATAACGTTTCTCAACTTTTTTGACGAGTATTGCAATAACACTGAACAAGGCGTATTCGCAAATATTCGCCGGCGTTATTACAGATCTAACGGTGCGCGTTCCGGTCGCCGAGTTCTCGGCACGGGCCATTGGAATTGTTTGCAAAGCCGCACAACACCAGCGATCGTTGCCTGCTAATAAGGGCAATAACGCGGACCAGATTCCGGGCTGCACACGCCGCCGCCCGTTATTCACCGGCCGTTTAACAACCCGTTCGCCGTAATGCTACTTCGCAGCAGCCGTTACGTTTAACCGTGAACTCGTCGTCGTTGTTCGATCCCCGCGTGACACGTGAACTGGATCACGTGATTGCACGTTCCAGATTCATACGTGGAGTGACCAGAGAGGCGAGAAACCGGATTTTTATTCCGGCCGCGATTCAATCGAACGCCGATACACATGCGTGTACGCGGCTGCTTAACGAGTCAATGAACGCTAGACGGATCGAGAATGGTATCGTAACTGAGGAATGTGCTCCTCGTTATCACCAGCAAACGACTGCCTACTTTGACAATAAGATTGATCCATCCTCCTAATTAAACAAATGCGTTTACTAAATACTCAGAAAGAATGTTAAACCTTCCACATAATGTATGACCAAAAATAAAAAACTGATACACTATATGGAGACCAGAATTAAATAATTCTATGCCTGCACGCTACACATAGTGTAAACACAGACGGCCTTGCACGTACATACGTGATTTACCGATTAAACAAAGAACACTAATAGCTCTGTCCGTACGTCTTAAAGACTATGGGCTAAGCGACAATGGACTGATTCATGAATTGGAATCAATACTACGTTCTAATATCGCGTTACGAATATACATGTGCAAACTTCGTTATTCTGTAACCCCGTCCCCATGATATCATCAACTAGAAGCTGTACTTACAATATTATTCTGAAAGCTCGTGTGAAAAAGAGCGGATCTGCGGTTTAGCCCAGCGTGGCCGTGTCAAGGTCGCCCGAATTCGAGCAACGTGGGACAAAGGGTGATTCACACGTTCCGCTGCTCACCCCGATCGGAGCGGCAGCGTGTACACACTTACAGCGTTCGCGCACATGGCGTCGACGCACCGCGTTTTTGATAAACGGTTATCGAAAAAATGATGACTTAACGTGCGTACGTACCTTGGTGTCCCTTGACGTGTGGTAGTAGTAAACAAAGGCGAACATCCACGCGCATGACAGCAGCAACACAATTTTCACATTTCGCCGCATCTCTGCTACCGTCTCGTTCTCGCCCCCTACGGCCTCTTGGTCGGGTGTTCGCGCGTCGATAGACTCTATGAAACGAGCCTCGTTCGGCACGCGTTACGCACGTCCACGCACGATCCCGGCTGCGTTTCGGTTCCCAGAGAAACGTAGCACGCACACCCGCGGCCGAGAACGCACCGTGACACCGCGGACAAACACCACCAACGCGAACGAACCGGCAGCCGAAGCCATACTGTCTGGCCTCCGAGGAGAACGGCGGACGCTCCGTGCCGAACGCGACCCGTGACTCCGAGTCCCTACGCTAGGTAGCGCTGCGCGCTTGGGCGCCGAATTTCAACTGCGGATTTCAATTTCAAGCGTCGCGACGAACCGGCGTCACATGCTGACCTCTATGCGCGACGTTCACAGATTTTCGAATATTTAATTCAGTTTTCCGAAACTCGTTTTAACTAAAGCGTTTTGTATATTTTGGTATGAAATTAAAGCTAGTATAGAGTAATTTCTGATTTATATTAGGATTTAGTTGAAATCGAAATGTAAAACTGTAAATCAATAAATTCCTGAATAAAATTTTAATTGTAATCTTAATTTTATTGTATCATTGTACCTT